GGCGGGCCGGGAGAGCCCGGGAGGCGAGCGGGGGCAGAGGCGCTGCGGCTCGCCAGGCTGGTTTCATTTTTAAAGGGCTTTGGTGGCCGTGCAGGCTCTCCCGGGGCCCTGGAGCCACTTAAAGCAGCCTAGCGAAGGCTGGGATGCAAAAGTTATTTGGTAGCGGCTGCTACTAGCGGAGGACTGGAGTGGCCCCGAGAGGGGTGTGTGAGTGTGCGTTTGTAGCAGCATCTTAAAGGAGTAGCTTGTCTTTCTGGCTGGCTCCCCCACCCCTTCTTTCCCCGCCATGCGTGCGTGTGTGGAGCGGGGATGGACGTTGCAAAAATGCTTGGATTTGTTTATGAAATGGAAATTAACTCTTCTCCAGCGCCGCTCCCCCACCCCAATTTAATCGCCACCATCCAGAGCTATCCCACCCGTGCCCTCCCATCTCTGCAAACTGGAGGACGTGTGAGTTGCACGGAGAACTCTTGACCAGCCAAGGACGGAAACTTCTTTCCGTGCGGTAGAGGGTCGGGGCTGGGGGGCGGACGGAGGTAAGGACCGGCTTGAGCGCCGTGCGGAGTCGAACTCGAACCCGGGGAAGCAGAGGCAGCGAGAAGGCGGGAAGAGGACCGCGAGCTCCGAGTCCGCCCGCTCCGGAGTAAGTCGCAGTTCTGGGCGGGGTGGGTGGCGGTGGTGGCGGCGGCGGCGACAGGGTCGCTGCTGGCAGCAGCGCCTGGAAAAAGAATGCAACTAATTCGCGGGCGCTTTGCTCGGTGTCTTTTAATTAAGTGAGACGATGCTAAATGAGGGGGTACCCTCAATGCTGACCGGGCCTTTATTAAAGGCTGGATTATCAATTGCTCTCGTGGTTTGCACACAACTTCGGAAAAGCAAGAAGCCGCGGCGGGTTTGCCGGGCTGGTCCATGTGCAATGCACACGGTTTGCAGCCGGCCGGAAGCACAGACTGGACCTCCACTCCTGGCCGTTTGCGGTCCTAGGTGGCCCCGCCCTCCGGCCCCGCAGGGACCCACCCGCGCGACCCCAGCCGCGGCGACCTCCTGCTCGTGCCCCGCCCCCAACTTTTCAGGGCTCCCTGGCCGCTGAGAAGGGCTCCGGGGGCAAACCGGGGCCAGAGAAAGCTCCAGTTGCGGAGCCGGGACACCTGGGCTGCCGAAACCGCCCATTGAGCCGATGGTGAGCGCTGGACACCTACCGGGCAGCTCCGAGGCGGGAACGGGAAGGTGACTCGGGTCGCTATCCCTCCTCGTCCCCCCTCCCAATATCCCCCAAAGCAAATTTCACCCCCTCCACCGACCCGCAGGGAAGGAAGAGGAAACCTGTCCGAGGGGCTGGGGCCCCCAGAACCCGCGGCGCGCTCCCCAATCCCCCAGGGGCCCGCGCCCGCGGAGGCAAGTTTCCCACAAGGCGAGGGCGCAGCCGGCAACTCCGAGAGAAGCCGGCTCCCGAGCCCAGCCAGCTCCGAGAGGCGCTAATTCAATAAGACAGAAATCTGAGTTCAGAAATCCTGATAAAATCTAATTTTCGGGTTTTAATACCCTGGCTATCAGCCCCTCCCTGATTCCCGAGGACTCTTAAAAGAAAATAAAGCGCATTGATTCTATTTGTTTCTGAGAGCTGCAGTTTCTTAATAATATCAGGTGAAGATTTATTTTCCAAGGAGAAAACGATCCACCAGGATACAACCTCTTACTCTGAAACCTCCCTTGCCGGCTTCTCCCTGCCATCGCCTCCTTATTCCCGGGGTTCTTGCGGCTCTCCCCCCTCCCCTTTTTGCTTTTTTTGGCAAAAGCCGACTGTAATATTCGAGCGCTGAGCTCACAATTCCCCCTGCGATGCCAGCAACGCAATCAACGCCCAGTTGATTGACTGGTTGTAAACACATTTTCCCCTGGCAGATTTTGTTGTTGTTGCCCCCCCCTCCGTTTTCCAGGGAATGCGTGGCATTTAAGTCAACAAAACTGCAAAGCAATTAATAAATTTGCAAGTTGCCCCGCACGCGGCCTCCAGGCTGAGCTTCGCCGCCTCCTCAGCCTGCCTCGCGCCCCGCGCCATCCCAGCCCGGCCAGGCTGGTCCTGCGGCTGAAGCCCGAAGCTGAGCCCTCCTTGAGAGCCGCAGCCCTGCGCCCTGGTCGTCCCTAGCCATCAGGAGCTCCCTACCTGTTAGGGAACAGTCGGGAGTCAGCTTCTAGAAGAATTAATTAGGGGCATGCTGTTTTCTGGGCAGCTCCGAGCTCTGGTAGAGGCGTCCAAACCTCTGCCGGCCGAGCTATTTTATTTTTACTACATTTTCTCAGGTTGTAAAAATAGACCTGGGCACGTTCTTTCTGGGAGTTTTCTAGCAAGGAGCGCATTCAAGGCCGGGCTGACTCTATAACAGGTTTCTCTCAACAGCCAGGGGTGAAACGGGAAAATGTGGTCCTGGTTGGGTCCTCATTCATCTGCATTAGGAGACCTTCATCCGGAGAGAGGGGCAGAGGCCCACTTAACGCAGATGGATGAGTCCCGCTCTGGGCCTGGAGATCAGGTGGCCTGCTAGGGACTTCTCCCAGAGCAGACAAGCTCAGCACCCAGGCAGGCAGTGTCTGGCCTTCAGTTTCTCATTTTTGGCAAGCCATTGTTTGTATCTGGGGATAAGTGGGGCTTCATGAAAATATAGTTAACTCCCCAGAGACTGCCCGTGAACAGTGGCTCAAAAGGATGTCAGATGAAGAGTCAGGCTGCCATTTGCATGATTTGGGAATTGAAATGCATAATCATGGGCGTAACATCCAAAATAATTAATAACACAGACATTTTGTGCTGTGACTCATTGCAGTAACCTTTGCCCTGTTGGCCAGTTCTTTGGGCTAGGCTTCCATGCTGCTGACTGGACTTGGATTGTCCTGGTGATGTATTAAGTGCCTGGGATCACCACATCATCCGAGCCATGTGTTTCCCAGTAACATTTGTATTAGTTATATCTATTTTGGTTTTTAAATAATTACCAGAGACTTAAAATAGTAAAGCAGTCATCCTAATAGTGATCCATTTATAGTAATACCCTTCAAAGATGATTGCAAAATGTTGGCCTTGATCAGAAAATCTGATATGACAAAACATTATCATTTCTGTGGAAGTCTTCGATATCTTAGTTTCTTACTGTTAAAAAAATTAAAGTCGCCATTTCAGATTGTACCTGCGATTGAAGAGGTAGTTGTCAATGCCTGGTGTTTCTTTGTTGGCCACACGTGGCCCACTCTGTACCTGTAGGTGTGGCCTCATCTGCACCTATAGTTACAGTCTCCCCGCCTCCTTTAACAACTCTGACACTTTGACTTGCAGGGCGTGGTATTTTAAAGCAACCATTAACTGTTGGCGCCTGGGCCTGTGGCCCTTGGGCAGACACTTCTGCTGCACCCATGAATGGTGAGAAAACACCTCACCTTTTTAATAACGTGCCCAATCTCCAAATGTGCAACTCCAATATTAATAAAAATAACCCAGTTTTCTCGGGAGATCTTGCTAATGCAGCCTCATTTTTTTGCACATTCTGCCAGAGAGCTTTTGTTCTTATACATCCCTAATCTCCCCTCTTTTAATTTGTTGCAGGTGTTGTTGCTAATGAGCGCTCCTGCTCTCTCCTCTCTCCTCCCTTCTTACAATGAAAGACAAGCCAGACCCTGGGATTCTGGGTGGATGGAGAGCTGGAGTCTCAGGAACTTCCTAATAAGTTGCTGATAAGTTGCTGGTGGCTACCAGCCAAGGTCAGCTGGCCCCCATTAGTGCCTGTCCCCACCAAAGCAGAGCCAAACAGCCTGCCTGGTTAACACCTCAGTTGCTTTTTATTTCCAGTCCAGCTGCCCAGTTGTTGATACTTTTGTCCAAATGAAAAGAAATCTCTTTTATTGGACTGAGATGCCAAGTCCAGTCCCAAAGAGGGAACACGTATACCTAACATGTATACCTTCTGATTTTATTTTATCTTTACAATGCAGGCTGGAGGTTTGTTACGTACGCAGTTGTGTTGAGCACATCCCACGTTAAGGGCCTTTTAAAGACCTGGATTGATTGGAAGGACAAAAATTAAAAGCAATCTGATCCAGCCCCATGCCGGATCCCTGTGGATTGTCTCCTTATCCCATTTCCATCCACTGTCACAATTTGAGAGTCGGCTTGATTTGATCAGATCCACCTCCGGGGGAGGTGGAATGCCAAGGTTACAAGGACGCAAAGTTACGGGCAACTTTTTGATCTGTCCATCAGCAGTTTGAGAAACGCTGGCTCTGAATTTTCTGTATCGGCCTTTCGGAAAAAACAAGCTCCTCACTGTTTGCAAACCTGCAGTGCTTGAGGCTCTGGGACATCCCAGCTGCCATCGCCTGGTAGATGTGGCATTTCCATGCTGAGGCTGCGAGTCCCAGCTGACCCCGCCGCTGCCTCTCCAGGGCCTCTCTGGGCCGTGCCCCTGCGGACTGAGCAGCCATGCTGCACCTGCTGGCTCTCTTCCTGCACTGCCTCCCGTTGGCCTCTGGGGACTACGACATCTGCAAATCCTGGGTGACCACGGATGAGGGCCCCACCTGGGAGTTCTACGCCTGCCAGCCCAAGGCAATGCGTCTGAAGGACTACGTCAGGGTGAAGGTGGAGCCCTCGGGCATCACGTGTGGAGACCCCCCTGAGAGGTTCTGCTCCCATGTAAGTGCACCCCCAGCCGATCTCTGGCTCAGTCCGCAGGGGAGGGGGCCTGGGTCAGACCCTTGGGGTGGTGAACCCAGCAGGAGGGCCAAGTCACAAGGCTGACTCCTGTGTCTTGGATTGGGACCAGGCCTTTGTCTCACCTTGGAAATGGGCAAAGCCTAGCAGCCCTTGGGTCATGTGACACTCTCTGGGGTCAGGGCAGTTTTGGCCAGCTGACCACAGGATGGTTTTCTCTCAGGAAGAGAGTAGTATTCCCAGTTCTGCAGCCTCAAAGGTAAGCCCCGCCTCCCGGTAGGGAATCTGCCCCTGGGCGAGTGAGTGAGCGTGGACTGGACCTGCCTGGGTTCTTCCCTTCCCCTGCGCAGTCTCCTTGTCCACCCAGCCCAATCCATCGGACAGCTATGAGGCCAGCGTGTGCCAGCACAGAGCTGGCGCTTTGCAGAAAAGGGTTGCAAGAAGGGATTCAAAGAGGAAGGCAGGGTCAGACTGGGAGGGATGGGGCAGCAGTGACCTTTGTAGTCCCATCCCTGTGTGTGATGACCACAGTCACAGATAGGTCAGGGGAAGGGAGGCATCCTGGCCTTGTCCCTTGAGTCTCCAGTCAGAGGATACAGAATGTACTGGCACTCGGGGAATGTTAGCAACGCAGTAATAGCAGAGATGGGGCTGGAGTCCCCCCAGACCCCCAGGCTCTGCCAGCCCGATTCTCTGTCATATAAAGTAGCAGGTTTAGGGGGTGGCCTCCAGACCAGCGACATCTCTAGACTCTGTTCTGCCATCTGTAAAATGGGCACACTAATGGAGCACACTCATAGGGTAGTTGGAAGGAGTTGGTGGCTTGAGGAACATCTGTTCACAATAGGGCTGGGCACAGAGCAAGTCCCCTGAGGTGTTAGCTGTTGGCACTCCAGCGTCAGCAGAGGCAAAGGCCCGCAGCCAGGGTCTCACGCCAGGAGGTGGTGGAGCTGTGATTCCCGCTGAGTGTCTGGCTCCCAAGTGGCTGAGCTAAACGGCCTCCCCCCACCCTCCAGCAGGAAGCTGGGTAGGGCACCAGGCTGCAGCCACAAGAGGGGCTCAGAGTCATCTTCCAGGTGGCTGGTGTCTCTGAATGTCCTTGGGGGAGCCACCAGGCCTCTGGGGTTATGCAGGGCCACCTGGTTCCCACCTGGGCTTCCTGAAGTTCTCAGTCCCGTGGGACATCTTCAGTCCCAGCACAGAGCAGCCTGGGAAGGTCGGTTCCCACGTGGGCTTGTCAGTGGAGATAAGGCTGTCACCGTGGGTGGTGGCTGGGCCAGGGCCAACTGGGGAGGGAGGGGGAAGCAGCACAGGGCTGGGAGCCAGGGCTGGATCGCATAGTCCGTGGGCATCACTGCTATGGGGACCACAGGGCCACATTGGCTCGGGGACAGGCCAGGGGGCTGGGCCCTGAAAGTCAGGGTTAAGGCCAAGCCGGGAGCCTGGTTCTGAGTCCACATCTTGGTCCACCTGCTCCCTGGCCAAGTCAACCTCTGCTCCTTGTGTAGAGCCTCAGCTTTATTTTTTCCTCTTAAGTATTTATTATGGTCTTATTATGGCAGGGGAGTGGGACAGTTAATTCACAGGAGGGACTTCCAGTCCAGGGATTAAGGGGTGACGATGACCATCAAACGCTAGTCCGAGGCCCTCTCCTGGTCAAAGCCAGCTCTGAGGGACCCCTGGCCCTGGACTGCCCTGCCTCCCCCTCAGCTTCCCGGGGCGGCGGTACCCCTACAGGTCCTGATGCTGGCCGAACCTGAGCCCTGGGGTCTTGAAGGAGCGCTCCTCCCCCTCCGCTCCTTTCCTGGAAGGCAGGTGAAGAGCGCAGGGAGGAAGGTCAGCATCCAGAGACCCCGCGTGGCCAAGTCCTCAGCGTCGTGCCACCTGTTTGGTGGATGTGAATATTTCATGACGGCTCTGCCTTTGATTACAAATGTGGACACAATATGAGTCTGGGAGGCTGCCGGCAGGTGGAGGCTGGCTTCTGCAGGGAGGTGAGGTCACCTCCAGTCTGGATTCAAACGTAGCACCACTGTGTACCATGGCCCCTCCTGGACAGGTCCCCGGCATTTCCCATTTAATCATTTCTAGGATGCCCCAGGGTGAGGCCTGTTCTGATCCCTCCTTAGGGATTAGGAAGGGTTGCCTAAGTCCTGTCAAGGTCACCCTGTGTAGAGGGCAGGCCAGGAACTTGTCTGTAGCTGGTCATGTGCACACCTGCAGGTGGCACAGTCCGCCCTCTCTGAGCTTCTGACCTCCCTGAGCCTTGTTTCTTCCTCTTTCGATGGAGACAGTACTGAGGAGGGTCACAGTGCTGGTGGGAGGACACAGCCTGGCCATGCATGCGCTGGCACTTGCTGGCACCAAGTAGGTGCCCCACAGTCAGTGACTGCTACTAGGTGATCACTATTGTTGTTACTCCTGTGGCTCTGCCCACCTTTCCTCCCTCCTCCCTCCCTCCCTCGTTCCTTCCTTCCCTCCCTGGAGTTCTCTGCCTTTCTCCAGCCTGAGGACACCACACCCTGCATTCCCAGTCTCCAGGCAGCAGGCAGAGAGCATTCTTGCCCAGGGAGTCTCTAAACGCCTCCAGTCAGAGCAGGTGGCTCATCAGCCACCAGGGGGCGTCAGAGCGGCAGCCAGCCCACCCGATACCCCTCTGCCTTGCCAAGGTTCAGTGGGTCCCTGCTCCCCTGCGCCCCTCCTTTGGCAGAAGTGGGCCTGCCTGTCCCAGCTTGCAGTCGTCCTAGGCGTGAGCCCAGAACTTAAGAGGGGCCGAGGGGCAGCGCTGTCTTCAGATCCTGCGTGCAGACCCTCTCTCCCAGGCCTCCCGCCTGTCCTCCGACAAGGCCACCTGGGAACCAAATTGTAAATTCCAGCCTGGCGAGGAAGGGGAGGGAGATGAAAGACAAGATAAATGAATAAATAAAAGCCTATTGGCTCTAAATGCACAAGGAGAATTAATAGGGATGAGCTCTCAACCGAGGATTCTTGGGCAAGGACAAAATTTCAATGAGGGCTGCCGGGGAGCAGAGGCGAGCCCCTCCCGCAGTTCCCCGGGCTGGGAGGAGGACAGGGCTCAGCCGGCACAGGCTGCTCACCCTCCCAAGGCAACTGCTGCTCCCAGGCCCCTCTGGGATGGAGAGGGCGTGCAGAGGCCTGAGGGCAGCCCCGTGGTGCTCTGCAAGAGGCCACCTGCCAGTTACCTGTGCTCCCATGGGAGCAAGGGGGCACCCTGTATGCCACGGGGATGAAAGTTGACCCCTTGAGACTCAGGTGAGAGACTGGGTCAGCCTACCCTGCCCAGGCCCCATGCCACACCCCTGCTACCCAGAGTTAGTCCTCCAACCTCTGAGCAGCACCAGCCTCACCAGGTTAGAAGTGCAGAATCTAGGGCCCTGCCGCAGACCTGCTGGGTTAGAATCTGCATTTTCTTATTTTTTTTTAACAAGAGAGCCAGAGGATTCTGCTGGATAGACGCAGAGTCTGCTGGTTCATGGAGGTGAAGCCTGTTATTGATGAAGGAGATCTGTGGGTCCTGTGGGATCTTTGTAGGTTTAGGAGAGAGGAGAACAGGCAGGCAGGAGGGGCACAGAGGGTCCTGAGAAAGGCACGGGGCTACAAACTGGAATCCCCAGGTGCATGAGGGACCTTGCCATCGCTGGGACCCGGGCTGCACTCTGAGACTTGGGAAAGGTTCCAGAGAGGGAGAGACAGCACTATATTCTGGCAAGAGCTACAAGTCTGGAATTCAAGCTGTAAGCTCGTGTCCTAGCACTGCCACCTGCAGGTTCCATTACCTGGAGTGGGTCATTCAAATTCTCCAAGCCTCAGTTTTCCCATCTGTAATAAGGGATACAATCATCACTGCCCCCATGCCTTCCTGGGAGAAGAAAACACCTCTCAAAGTCTGCAGGGGCTTAACTGACAGTGTGAATTCTGTTCTAGTGCGAGGTTTGAGTCTTATCTCCTCTCCAGTCTTGATCATCCTGCTCTGTCCACGTGGAAATGGATGAACACTGAACTTTTCATGTAATGAGACTCCAGAGAGAGATTGGAATCCATTCTATGTGACCTTCAGGATGAGATTTAGCCTCTCTGAGCCTGGTTTCTTCAAGTCATGGCTATTAATAGACCATGCACAGGGGGCCTGTCGGGAGCTCGGGGCCTGGCACATAGCAGATGCTCAATTTATGCTACCTATTAGCCCCTGTGCTCTACCTGCAGATGTTTGCTTCCCCTTGGAAACTCCTCGAAGGCAGGTCACCTCTGCAGTCCTTGCCCATTGCACGTGGATAGAACAAATGGGTGGATGGGAGGAATGGTGAGATCCAGGGAGGCTTCTTGGAAGAGGAAGCTGTCTTGAAGGAAGAACTGGGGTTTTCCAGTAGGAAGCCCCTGCTCCTCACCGCTGCAGCCCCTGCTCCGGCAAGTTTGCAGTCGATGTAGCCTGGGTTTGCACAGCTCTGTCTTCGTCCGCCTCCACGAGCGCCTTTGGGCACTGAGCTGCTCACCCTCAGCTTCAGCTCTCAATCTCCTGAAGTGCCCGAGGCAGGGCCCAGCCTAGGACAAGAATAGTTCCACGAGGTGACATCTTGTTGCACAGTGATGTCTCCAGCCCAGGAGCAGACATGAGGAGATGGGGCACTGTCACCGAGCACCAGCCCGCGGGCCCACGGGGTCAGATCTTTGTTTTCTGGCCCTTCTCATGGAGCAGGTTTGGGTCAGATGCCCCAGGGAGGGTGGGGGCTGCTCAGTTGGGGTACGGTGGGGACCCAAAAGGCCTGGAAGAGACATCTTTCTAGAGGGTTAGAGACTTGGGCCACTCTGCCGGCCCCTCCTCGTTCCACTCCCGACGCTGGTCTGGGTGGATTCTCCTTTGGGCGTTTCTGGGCGGTTATGGCGAGCTGCTCCCGTGTGCCCTGGGGCAGGCTGTGGGGGCTCACCCGCAGCCCTCCCTGCTGCGCTGGGATGGGCCCCACAGG